CCAGAGCCCTAATGAAGCCCTGCTCTGTGGGGTGGGCCCCTGTACAGGTAATCCCCCGAGGTGGTCAGCGGTGGCAGCCAGTCCTCACAGCTGATGGGCTTCTAGTAAGGCCTCAGATGAGTTTCACTAGTGATGGGGAAATCCCAACTGATAGATGTTGAGAACTGGAACTGGACAAGACAGTGTGAATTTCTCTTTCAGGAACATTAACTTCACGCTATGACTTGTAGAGCATCAAAGGGCCTCATAGTTCTCTGTTGTGTCTTAAAGCATGTCTCACCCTGATGGTTTTCTTAATAACTTCAGAAAAAATTTGTTAGTGGGACTGAGACCAACAACGAAGCTAAAATCTCTCAAACTGAAAGGGAATTGAGGGGGAGTTTTTTTTGTTTTTGTTTTTTAATTGGCTCCAGAAATTGTGCCCCAAGAGAGCTGTGTCATTATCATAAATGTCTCTTATTTAGTTTTGGGTTTTTTTTAGGGGGGGAGGAATGTTAGTATGTTAGTTTTCTATAGCTGAGTGTATCAAATTACCAAACTTTAATGGCTTAAACTATACAAATTCCATCTTATAGTTCTATAGGTTAGAAGTTCAACATGGGTTTCACTGGGCTAAAAATCAAGGTGTTAGCAGGGCTGCATTCCTTTCTAGCAGGGGTGGGGAACCTTTTTTCTGCCAAGAACCATTTGGATATTTATAACATCATTTGTGGGCCCGCTATATTTGGTCAAACATTTAATTAACTCACCTCTAATTCCATGGCAGGGTCAGACCAAATAATTTCTTGGGCCTTATATGGCCCACAGGCTCAATGTTCCCCATCCTGCTTTCAAGGGAAGGATTTATTCCCTTGCCCTTTTCAGCTTTTAGAGGCTGCTTAGATTCTTTGGTTCATGGCCCACTTCTTCCACCATTAAAGCCAGCAATGGTGAGTCAAATCTTTTTTGAGTAGCATCTTTCTGGCCATTATTCCATCATCATCTCTCTCTCTCTGACCATAGCCAGGAACGGTTCTCTGCTAAGGACTGGAATTAGATGGAGTCCACCAAGAATCCAGAATCCAAAATAATCTTCCTATCTTAAATTCAGCTGGTGAACAACCTTAATTTCATCTGCAACCTAATTCCCTTCTGCCATGTAACACAATAGGTTCACAGGTTCCAGGAATTAGAGCATGGACAGAATTGGGAGACCATTGTTCTGTCTACAATGGTTGATTAAAAATAAGGAGCTAAGAATCAAGAAGACATAGGCATTAGAGTGAAAAAATGGACCAGAAAAAAAAATGGCAACAGGTTCTTGAGATCTTTCGTCAAAAGGAAAGCTGATAAAATGATAAAGAAGAGGGGGGAAAAGTTTCTCTCAAATAAGAGCATGTTTATTTATTATTTATTTATTTATTTGTATTTAATGTAAGTTGAGTTCAGGAAGAAATAATATGTCTTACTTGTACATATTCTTTGGTGCTTTTGTGTGTTTCATGGTGCAGTGTGCACTAGCTTGTTCCTGTCTTGATGCCCAGTCTGCTAAAGAATTGCTCTGGTGGGACAGTAAAGGTTGGCCTTAGCCAGTTGTGGGCCAGGTTATTAGCACTCCATACCCTTGAATGGGACAGATGTCTCCCCAATATTATGCACTGTAGAATGTTTTTGAAAGTCACCTCAACCATTGAGATTGAAGATCTTTCTACTCCCTGTACCTTTGTGGGTGTGAAGTGTAGAGCTTAAGCTGTGGGAATATGCATGTTATAGACCAAAGCCATGGGCATAAGGTGTGCCTTTGTGGGGACAGGTATCTTTAGAATGTGATGGTAGTTATGTCTGAGTACCTGGGTGGTAATGGCATCCCTCTAGTGGAGTACTAGAGTTAAAATGGGTAAAGCTGTATCTGAGGTGTGGACATGGCATAGTAGCCAGGGTCTGGGTCCCCTGCTCTGCCTGTTATCTTAGGTACTGGAACAAACACTCATTCAGGTTTGCCATGAAGGGGATTCTACCCCATTTTGATTGGCAGACCTACACTCAAAATCCCCCAGCAGGTGACAATGTGTGTGTCCATAGGAATCAAAACTAAAGCAAGCCCTAGAACTGAAGAAGAATCCTGGAGGCCACTGGGCATGCTGAAGTTCGTGGCTTGATTGTAAGGAGAGTTACTGCTTCCAGGAAAAGAAACAGGGCAAAGAAAGCAGGAAGCAACCATATACTCACTAACAGAAATATTTATAATTTCACAACCGATATGGCCATATCACCTAAATAGCAGCCCTGACTTTGGTTTAGCCAAATCCACGGGCAGTTTTTCTTTTCAGTTCTCAAAACCCAAAAGATACTCACATAATTCTCTCCCAGGCAAAGAGGAACTTCCCATTATATCTATCCTTCTAAGGGATGCTACCCCTGGTGACTCTGAAAGAATTTGCTATTCTTATTGCACAGAGAATGATCCCCTTTCTCACTAAAGAGAAAAAATACATACATTTAATTTTTTTTGTAGTGGTATAGATCCTTCTATATTATGTTCATCTAAATATTTCATGAGATTCTATTGGATTCAAATTGTATTTACCAGCTGATTCCAAACTCTCAAAACCTTCTAAAGACTGTAGCTTCAAAAAGTAGCATGGGGTAATATTACCATCCAGTTTTCAAAACTTTTATTTTAATTGCTATGACCATGTCTAGTATATTTATTTATGCTAAATTGACTGATATTCCCCCAAAGTTAAGTAATAGCTTGCAATTAAACTTGATTTCCCTATTTCAAAAATAACAATAACACTTACATCATTATTCATAGCTATTGTCATATCTGCCAGTTGATTAAGTAGGAGAATATTGTGAAAATCAGTGACAAATTCCAAGAAGCCATTAGGAATTAGAGAAAAGATTGAGGAAAAGAGGAGTTGAATAAAAGTATAAGAAAGCATTTACAATGGCTTTCCTGTAAGTCCTTTGAAGTTATTATTCATTCAGTAATAGATTTTTGTTGGAGCTACTAAAGCAGGCATCATATTACATGCTGGAAATACAAATAGTACAGGAAAAGATTATTTTAAAAGATATTCGGTCACTTGATGAACAGTTATTGATATAAGTGATAATAATAATGGTAGGAATGAAAAGGCTCAGCAGAGGAAATGACTAGTCAAGGTCTCGTGGATTTAATATTTGCACTATTTTACGCCCACATCCTCTTTCTAAAGATATATAATCTTCTGCCATGGCTGGTGTATCAGTTATTAAGATTGAAATGTCTAGACTAGATTGACATTCTCAAGGTTCTTGGCAGAATGATTCACTTGGGTATGAAACTACATACCCCCAAAACAATCACACTTTGGAGTCCAAGGTGATATCTGGTACTTCTCGACATTTATAATTTTAGAAGTGAGTAACCACAGAATGGCAAGTTGCTCTACATGGTAATCTGATAAAAACCGTCAAGGAAGAGGTAGAGAAATTAAAATGAGTTTATGTCTCTATCTTCTAGTTCAAACGTCCTTTCCCACTGGTATGACTAGTACTTGTAGTCAAAACAGTGTCTATCACTTTTTAAATGATTAAGTCACACAGTTGAATTTTTGGTTCACTGACTCTGAAGTTTGCAGTGTTTAACCTCAAATTTAAATTTTTTCCCCTGCCAAAAATATAGCTGTAGTTTAAGTGTTTAAAAACAACTGGAGTGGAACTACCAACTATTAAAATGAGTTCAGAAAAAATGAAAGATACATTACTATAAACATGCCTAAAGTTTTTCTCACTATCAAAAAAAAACCTCAATAGGTAAATACAATCAAATACTATTGGGACAATAAAAGGCATCCTTTTTAATTTCGCAGATAACATCAGGCAGTGTTCTATAAAAGGGTATGATATGAATTATACATGGTGGAACCAGCATCTTGGAAGGCAAATATCTGAATTAAAATCACCATTGTGAATTGAAGTGCCGTAAAGAAAATACATAAACACAATGGAGCTCAAAGAGGTATTTAAATGCTAGTGTATATAGTACAGAAGTTTTACAAACCCAGTTAGCTTGTATCTAAGATGCAGAAATTAATATGAACAACTTAGTAAGTAAAAGTAAACATTATGTTTTTATAGCATCAGAAAACTAAGAAGTTAGTTACCCAGAAAGAAAGAAATATAAGCATGGAAAAAATAATGAAAAGAGAAGGTGAGGAAAATATTATAATGATGATGTATATCATTATACATTTGTCTCTAAACCCATAGAAAGTACAATACCAAGAGTGAATTATAATGTAAACTATGAACTTTGGGTGGTTATGATGTGTTAATGTAGGTTTAGCCTCAATAAAAAAATGTACCATCCTAGAGAGTGAGGTATGAGGTTGATAAAGGGGAGCGGGGTAGGTATACGTGGAGGCAGAGGGGTTATATGGGAAATCTCTGTACTTCTTTTTAATTTTTTATAAACCTAAAACTGCTCTAAAATATAAAGTATTAAAAAAAGAAAGGGCATTAAAAGTTTAGAAATCGAACTTCCGTGTTCTCTTAAGAAAAATGTCATAAAGCACAGAAGCACTATTAGAGAAAGACTAGCATTATATGAGACTATACTGGATATAATATTTTGAGAAATGTAATGTGCTTATGATTTTTTCATTTCCTTGTGAATGGTTGTTTCCTTAGACACACTTGTGAGTTTAGGGGAAATTAGGAGATTTTCAGTAGAAAGGCAAAGAAAAAAGAAAGATACTAGTATTCCCAAAGGCAATAAGCAGGCAGACATTGGATTGAAAGCTAGACTTCGAAATGATTTTCTAAACGCTTATATTTTTCCCTTGAAAACTTTTAGAAACTGGCCTAGCAAGATTGATCATAGAGTTAAAAAAAAAAAAAAATTCTAGTCAGAAAGAAAGAGGAAGAAGGAAAGTCTTACCCTTTTGGTTCCAAGGGTTGATGGGAAGAGAAAGAGAGGGGCAGGTAGAGGAAGCCGTAAAAAAACTCATGTCTCTGTCTCCCCTTTCCAGGCTGAAGTGCTACTGCGGAAAGGTGTGTGAAGGGATGAGATGCTCTCAAAAGTCTCCTGTCAATCTGGGCCCAACATGGCAGGTAAGTGTGGTGCTGACGAGTGATTAGGCAGAGAGAACACCCGAGTTTGGCTTTCCTCTACATCTGCTTCCCGAGTGTCATAAATAGGACCTACAAGTGCCTGTCTTTCCTAAGGGGGAATGCGGAAGAAAGTTGAGAGTTAGGCTGTGGGCTGCTCTATGGAGCTCCGAAGCCAAGGCTCAGTAGCTGTGTAATCTAGTGCCGAAGCTTACTGGGGGGCTGAGTCAGCGGGAAGATGACTGTGCCCGACCAAGTCCAGCGTGTTCAGGCCCCGAGTTCCCCCAGCTCAGGCTCGCACAGCAGATGCCTGCACTGCTCAGATGCTCTGGGTGTCCTTCCACTGGCCCACGAGGCAGCCCAGGCCAGCACTCTCCACAGGGTTCTAGAGTTTTCAGAGGCGACCCTGCCCACAGTCTCTATCGAGGTCAAATCAATCACGTGCCACAAAACGGCAAAAACCATTTCTGAAAAGGATGAATAAGAGAGCCTCTAAGATCCCGCTCATTTTTACCAAAGATTAATATGTTAGTGATTTAGCTTTTTTTTTTTTTGGTATGAGATCAAATTTTAGACTTTTCTTCTTTTATCTTCTAGGTTTATATCATCAAGATGATCTGTTGTTAAAGAGAAGTGAAGAGGCTATATTTTCTTTTCAAACCTGAGTGAGGATGTGAATAAATTGGCAATTCCATTTCATGCATTTTATGATTCCTTACTTCCTCAGAGCTTTCTAATCTTTTTCTGGAGACGCAGGTTTTCTTTGTTCATTTTCCAAATAAAAATCTCCTTTCTTGGCTCCCCTGACATCGACCTCCTTAGTCTCTGCTTATATATCCAGATGTCTCGTTTCACATATCTTTGTCCCCAGATCTTTAAACTCAGCCACTTCTGAAGGCTCAAATTTTGGCACCACATCCTGATTTATTCTGCATGAAGTATTGTTTCATGGAAAAAAAAAATTGATATACAGCATAAACTATTTTATAAATAGTTTTAAATATTTTATAAGTAACTATTTTATAAATAACTGTGTTATGACCAATGTATTTTATTGCCTATAACTTTTCATTGAATAATTGTTCCACTGTTGTCCTTAAATGAGTTCATGTCTTTATAGTTGACCTATATTGACCATATCTAATTCTTTCAAGAACAGTGACTGTCACCAACAGGATCCTGCACAATCAAAGGTATTTGTTAGAAAACTGAACTGCTTTGCTTATGATGAATAGACCAAGAAGACATTCGAGAGAAATCAAGAAAATATTTTTCTTTAAAATAAAAAGAAACAAAATATAAGAAACAAGTGGTTAGCAGCTAATTTCATGGTAAAGCAATAAGAAATACTTCTTCTTAAAGAAAGACAATGGACAAATAAGAGATTATCTTTCCAACTAGCCAGGTCCAATTTTAAGTTTCTATGTCCACTTTCTTTCTTCCAAATGAATGGAGCATTTGAGAAAAATTACAATAAAACAATTGTTTGCAAAGCCCAGTTGAGAAAGAAAATTCCATTTAAATAACTACAAATGAATGTGTTTTAATGTAAGCAGCATTGACTGGCCATATACTATATGATAGATAAATACAAAGAGGAAAACAGCATGAGCTTGTCCTCAAAGAGCTTTCAGTCTAACAGGGAGGACTAGGCAGAAACTAAGGCTAGACAGAAGTACAAAAAAGAGGAAATGTATTTTTAGGCAATGGGGAAGGCTTCTGTCAGAAACTGTCCAATGAGTTGGACTCTGTAGACAGACAGACTTTGGGAAATATTCTGAGCAGAAAGCATAGATGCAAAGGCATTTCCACAAAGCTTATTCCCTACCTTTTTGCTTTTATGAATAATAATTAACTGTGATATTAAAATAATCCTTTTAACTGTCATACAAAGGTATCAACATTATTTATCAACACATGTGATGTTTAAAGTAAAAACACAGAAAATGTAACTTGATAGTATTTATCTTCACTGAGGTAAAATCTTATATAATAAAAGGCTAATATGCAAATCGACTGAATGGCGGAACAACCGGTTGCTATGATGAGCACTGACCACCAGGGGGCAGACGCTTAATGCAGGAGTTGCCCTCTGGTGGTCAGTGCGCTTCCACAAGGGGGGAGCACCACTCAGCCAGAAGCCAGAAGCTGGGCTCACAGCTGGTGAGTACAGTGGTGATGGTGGGAGCCTCTCTTGTCTCCTCGGCAGAGCTAAGGATGTCCGACTGGCAGCTTAGGCCCACTCCCTGAGGGCTCCTGGACTGTGAGAGGGCACAGGCTGGGCTGAGGGACCCCTCCCCCTGCTGAGTGCATGAATTTCGTGCACCGGGCCTCTAGTTAAGAAATAATTAACCACTTTAAAGTGTACCATTCAGTGGAACTTAGTGCATTCACAGTGTTGTGCAACCATCACCTCTCTTTTCTCATTCCCAAAGCCATTATTAGCAGGAGCCCTGCTTACTAGGAGTCTTCTTTCTCAGTTTTCACACTATAAATTTGGGCATTTGAAAATAAGGCTGGGAAACTGGAAAAATAACTTATTTAAAAGACATCCACCAGTAATTCAAGAAACTGAGGATATATAAGATAAAATGCTATAAAATTATAGTCCTTTCAATATTATATTTCTATTGAAACTATTCAAAGGCAAAATTATTTTTTTCAGTATTTTTTATTTATAACATAAATATCCTATATAATAAAAGCCCAGTGACTGAACAGTGGAACTAGACTGACCAGTCGATCTGTAGCTATGATGCACACTGACCACCAGGGGGCAGACGCTCAACACTGGAGCTGCCCCCTGGTGGTCAGTGCGCTCCCACAGGGGGAGCACCACTGGACTGACTGGGATGAGTGATGGTCCCACAGCAGGCTGATCCCCACAGGCGCCCCCCTCCACCACCTGTGCATGAATCCTGTGTACTGGGCCTCTAGTTATCAAATAACGTGGCATATTATAGGTGCACCAACTACCTGAGCCATAAATATTTTTTAAGTGGGTATCTACTTTAAAGTTAATTTCAAATGCCTTTTTTAGGACCTTTGGGAAAGATAGTATCTTGAATGTAAGTCCAATTGAAAACTGTCTCAAAATAAAAGGAAATATAAGAATAGATGAGAGTATTTTTTTCTTGGTGTACTGGTGAAAATTGGGGAAGAAATAACGCGTTCTGTCAGGAGAAGCTCTGATCTCCATGAATTTTATTTAGTGATTTCTATTTATTTCCACAGTCACCACACCTGGTCTACAGCAGCAAAGGGGACCCCAGCCGAATGTTTCCAAGCTGTCCCTTGGCCTTCCCAAATTAGGCTTCTGCCAGAATTTCCTCTTCCCCAGCAAGGTCATACCACTTCTTAGAAAGGAATTGTGTATTGGTTTTTTATGCCTTCCTTTAGGCTGGCTTCTGCATTATTTTTAGAAGCTTCATCAAGGAAAACCTGAATAGCTTACCCAGACAGATGTATTATTGTTAGATCATGGGGTAAGAACTCGGAATACCATTGCTTCCTTACCTTTGACTATCTCTAAGGGAATAAGATTAGGGTTCCCTATTGTTTCAGATCCTCCTCCACCCTGCATTTTGCCCCTTGCACCTCGTTTCTTTCTCTGCCTCTGGCTGGTCCCTGACTAGTCACACTATGCTGCTGAAACCTACCAGCCCATGTCAACCATGATCTCTTAATGTCTAAAAGAATTGGAGACTTTGGGATACTTATCCTACCTGATGCCTCAGCATCGTCTAATGACGCTGTGGGCAAATCTCTTCTCCTTGAACTCTCTTCTCTCTTGGCTTCTTTGATGCCGTGCTCTGTTCTTACCTCTGCTTTTCCTTCTGTTCTTGGACTTTCTTCTACCCATCCCAAAAGAATTCTTTCCTCATCTGTGCAAACTCTTCCACACAGTGGGTTTTCTCTTCCCATTGATGGAGCTGTTGACACAAGTCTGCCTCTTTACTCCAGGTTTCTCTTCTATACCACCACATCCACAGGTTCAGGGCCTCCTGGGGATTACCCACTTGAAAGTCCCATAAGCACCTCTCACTCAAACTCTTAAATCTAAAGTTTTTTGCTGCATCTTATTTCCTACTTTGGACTCCGAGTCGAGAATTAGGGGTTACTATACATAAGCTACAGTTGACAAATCAATAGAAATTACTTATGCCTAACAAGATATGAATATTTCGCCGAAACCGGTTTGGCTCAGTGGCTAGAGCGTCGGCCTGCGGACTGAAAGGTCCCAGGTTCGATTCCGGTCAAGGGCATGTACCTGGGTTGCGGGCACATCCCCAGTAGGAGATGTGCAGGAGGCAGCTGATCGATGTTTCTCTCTCATCGATGTTTCTAACTCTCTATCTCTCTCCCTTCCTCTCTGTAAAAAATCAATAAAATATATATATATATATATATATATATATATATATAAAAAGATATGAATATTTCTGTCATGAGCATGCATTGTTTGTGTAATTAATAAGCCAAAATGTCCTTGATACACTCATCATTCTCAGCTATCAATTTTATACATTAGGACCTTGAAATTTCATTTGACATTCTGCCCGCAAACTCCAGATTGGAATAATTGCTTTCTGCTTTTCTAAGCAGCAAGCATTTTGCATTTCAATGAGGCCATGATAGGAAATAATTCAATAAATATGGTCTACTAGTATGTATGAGCCTTATCTATCTGTGCTGACAACAAGCTAAACTCTTGGTTGGGTGCTGACACAGAGATGTTGGTAGAAATAGGAATCAATCCCAGGAAAAGATCTTTAGGACTGAATTTTAAGTAGTAGAGCTTTGGGTTTGGAAAGTATTTTGCTTAACAGCAATAGCACCAAATACAGTCAGGAGAAATGATTGTTAATTATTTATGCTGACAGTGTCAAACATTTATCATGATTCTTTTATGCTTTATATGCCTTTTTCTCCATACATTAGGCAATGTATACCAGGAAGTGAACAGCACACCAGTCACTCTTTTGACCTGTGGAGAGCATTACTTAATTCTATAAAGTTTCAAGTAAAAGTTTTAAATCATGAGTTGACCTTTAACCTGTGAAGCTTAAGTAAATTGTTCTGAGCCTTTATCCTAAATTTCTCATTACACAGCCTGAGCAGGCACTGGAAAGGGCAGTTAGATTTATAAACAACTCAAGACAGACCACTTGCAATTGATATTAAGATCTCACATCATTCTATTTTCACTTTATTTAGCCTTTATGTTTTGAAAGCTGTCTTTAGGCTCAGAACTTAAAGTGGTCTGGCTGTGAACAATGGAAATGTGCAGCATGGAATGTTGAAAATATTCTCACCAAACAAGTGCAGCAGTTTTACTATAATTAGCTAAAGGGCATAACACTGTAAAAAAGAAAATGAACCACTCATTTGCTGTCATCAAAAATGAGGAACTGGCTTAGGCAAAAGCTGAAGTCCTTTTGAACATGAGACGTTCATTGATTTGGCAGTGAGAAGGATCTTGTTTGTCCTGCTAGTTCTAAAGAACTATTTATCCTTAAATAATTCCAGTAAGGAAGGTGCAAGGAAAAAATCATCAATCTTAATTTTTTCTAAATACCTCTCCTTATGTTATTATGTTTTATGTCATATCTAAAATGTCACCTTGATTTTTTATTTTGATATGGGCTGCATCTTTTTATTTAACACAGGTTGTCTCTTTAATATTGAAAATAAGACAAATGCATGCTATAAAGTTAAAATTGTTTTGAAAAACTATATATTGTTGCTGTCATAAGAAATTAAGCCAGGAATATTATCATGGTCTCCACATTCTGATCTTTAATGCA